AGATAGCTCCAGAGATAATGACCCATTTTACATGATGGAAATAGTTTTTCCTGTATGAGAGGATGCTATCTGGTTGTTTGCTTCACAAAGCAAGATACATGGACCTTTTATGCATAAGTCTATATCAGTAGGGAAGAGAGATTTTCCTTAAATAAGGCAACCAATTTAATCACAATGCATTCCTACATAACCACAACCTTTCAGCAGCAGCACTCAAAAGCTCAACAACACATATTTTGATCCTTTGACTGGCTGGCTGTGACTCATTTTCCTTTTCAGGGACACTTGGATGGACTGGAGAAATGTACCGTGAAGGAAGAGCTAAAGAAGGGCTCAGACCTAAGGTGTTGTGCTTCCTCATATCAGTGAAGACTCAGTGCATACCAAAATGACGTCACCTCCACCTGTCCGAGAAGCAAGACTTATGTTCTTACCAAATCCATATGACACAAAATCCAGCGTTGCTTTACTAATTCCACTGGGGCACCTCTTCACACGGCCCAGACTGTGCCTCTGATTCACCAGAGGCAGGTTCTTGATTAATTTCTATAGGCCCACCCTTGTGTTTGATGTTAACTGCGAGCTATAAGGAGACTGCTGAATCAGGCTCACTCAGGGTTACCCTATGCCTCTCAGGCTAAAGTTGCAATGAAGCAGACTCTGGCTTTCCTGGAACATATCTGGCATAGGAACGGACTCTGCAGGATTTATTACATACACATAAATATTTGGATTTTGGGAAGCATAGTGTCATTGAAAGGTGGCTGAATAAAGAAAGGAAAAGATAGAAAGAATGAATCAAAGCAGAAGAAATTTCTCTGTGTTGTTTCCAAGCTCTTAACTATCATATTAGCTCAAACAAGGGCCTACATTCACAGTATTTATTTACTAACAAGTGGCATTTATTAGTATCTTACAGTGCAGCACTGGGCAGAAAACAGGAAAGTGCTCTTTTCTTTTGGAAGAACTTTTTTCCATCTTTTTTGTTGTTCCTTTTGTTGCTGTAACTAATTGATATATTATTTTACAAAATAAGCCCAGTTAGCGAAACTTATTTTATGCTCCCTTGCTACTATACCAACAAAACGAAACCCAAGTTCCTGCATGATGTGACATGTAAACCATTTGTGCTGAAGTGACTGCCAGGAAACGGATGGAAAGTTTTTATCCTGAAGAAAAACACTCAAATAAAATGCTAGCGTAATCTAAAATTATTCACTGACAATAACTATGGGATTTTTGTTTTTTTTTGTCAATCTAGCAGAGCCCAGCATTAAACAACTTAGGGCATCAGAACAGAAAGTGATACATTGTCCTTTCTGATGTTCAGTAAATCTAAAAGCAAACTTTTTTTTAAAGGGAAGACATAAAACAATTTTGTTTGCATTTCATGGGAAAAAAAACATCAGTAGTGCTGCCATCTAAGGTAAAGCACACATGTTTTCAAAGAAAGCATTGTGTGTTAGTAACATCTTGCCAGTTTCACTCAGGTTCTTTAAGGCAGGTCATGATTTAAAAGCTGGACATCCCCAGCTCCACCTACATGCTATGATCACAACTGTGTGCGCTTATCTCAGCGCTCTGCTGCGCCATGATTCAGCTTCATTTATTTTCTTTAAGGGAGCTAGAAGTCAGGAAAGGACAGATGAATGGCTTACTTCTTTTTCACTATGCAACTTCAAATTTTCAAGACGGCCACCTGCTCCTTTGTTGAGAGAAAGTTAAAACCGACAGCCCATTTTTCTGAGCCACAGAAAAATGTAGATAGTTCATTAGCTTTTACCATCAGACTCTAAAATTACAAAGTCACATCAATTCACCTCTTCTCTCCTCTGGAGCTTCTCTGCTATCACAAAGCCTATTCAAAATTTCCCCAAGGGCCAAGACCAAACTCAAAAAAAGGCTAACTTAGGATGAAACTGAAAGCGTGCTCTATTATCCTCCATCTGAGACTCCCCGCCCCAACCTCGTTCTCTCTCTCATGCTGTTATTTCAGACCTGTATCAGCACTCAACCTGACCACAGCTGGTAGCACTGATCTCCACCCTGCCCCCCCAAGGATGCGTAACATTATTCTGAATCTTTCATTCAGTCACCAAAGAAAATACCAAGAGGTCTCTAAAACGACTGCAGCACACCCAGACAACAGACCTGCCAGAAGGATTCTTCAGCACTGGAGAAATAACTGGCTGTCAGAGAGAGCCTGCTTTGAAGTTACCACTTGCAGCACCCACAGTACCAGGGCTGGATTGGATTGTACTGGATTACTTTCATGGCAAGCTCTTTTTGTCCCAGTTGAAGAGTTCCTTTGTGAGGAAAGAATGAGGATGCATCTTGGGAATGATCTGATACTTCAAAAGATGCTTCTTGTAGCAGTTCATCCTGCAGAAAGATTCTCTTTTGAAGGAAATGTTGCAGAGCCCTTGTGTTGATCACCGTGATAGCACATGCAATGTGCTTTTTGTCCTTGCCTGTCTGCATTATCACTTTTTAATAAAGATCCAAAATAATCCTTGCAAGCTCAGAGTTTTATTAATTGACATATGTTTAGATATATGCTGTTTTTCATAAGGCAGTATTTTTTCTGCAAACACATCAAAACGAATCTGGAATTCAATGAAAGTCTACTCACTGCCTGGCAAGGGTCTGCAATGTAGACTTCATTTTGGGGACAATAAAGTCAGTAATATCTTTTTCTTTGTGTTTAAAAAACAGAAGAGGTTTTTTAAAAAAATTGAATGTTAGTGGAGGAAAAAAGCAAAAAAGGATTAGCACTCCAAAGCAACTTCTCCAAAAATAAAAGCTAAGTTCAGAAAAGGAGAACTCATGGCCTAATGGGGCCAGCTAATACACATATAGTAAGTCTCTAACCAATGCAAATTCTGGAAGGAGCAACGAAGACCGACATTTAAAACCACACACTATCACACTGCAAGGTGTTTCAAAAACCACTATTTTTTTAGCTTAAGAAAGCATCCTTTCTCTTAGGCCTGCCATCAGCATGAACATTCTATCAATACACTGTCTTTGGTCACAGCTTTGATTTTTAAAACAGAAAATCCTAATAGAGTAAATTTCAGGTGTGAAGGCCATAATTCATGCCTAGATCCATACACTTTACTTGTCCTTGGCGCCTGAATAATTCAACTATTTTAACACTCTTCAGCATAGCTGCAATGACAGTGGCATTGTGTTAACACAGGCCTTCTTGCACATGGACACCATAAGCCTAAGAATCTCTTGTTCACAGCAGTACTAAGGATATCAGCACATAGGTTTTGAGCCACTACTTCCAGCAGGCAAGTATTAGATAACTTGAGCACAGGTATACCTTTCACATAAGAATTCTGGCAGTGTTCTCATACAAGCAGATCTTGGTACAGTTTTATCACAGTAAATGTATTAGGATGCATTAGCGTTGTACTTCTGGGTCTTCTGACCTTCCTTCCTATGCAGGCTACATGATCAATCATGGACAAACTCCAGCACAGTTCTGTAGATGTTTTCTCCTCATGTAATGCACAGCTTTCCAAAAGCACACTGCTGGCAGCCATAGATAACTCCACAGTTTTAGTTTAAGGGATTTCATGGATCAACAGAAACAAACACTCAAACTATTACTGTTTCTGACTACCTGATGAAAGATTACAGCAATTTAAGAACAACCTTCCTCTCCTTTTCTTCAGAGCTTTGTTTTGACTTACAATATTATCAGCCCTCCCTGTCCTCAGCTGAGATATTCTTTCAGCTTTGGTTTAGGCTACAACCTACAAGCAATGGAAGAAAAAACCCAAAACCAATCCTGAAGCACAAGTTTACTTATGCTTTATGTGAAGAGGATACTTTCGTACATTGACCAAGATGATGTTTTAGTTTGCTGCTGCTTCCTGCCTTCATGCTACTGATGCCAGAACCCAGGATGTCACTGTTACCTCATAGAGTGGTAGTGAGACTCTTACAGCAATAACAGTGGATTGCTTTTTATCAGTGTGAGCCAGGTTAACTTCTACAGTACAATGCAAAATGCAAAGTGGACACCTTTCAGATTCTCTTCTCCTTTTCTCCCTTGCCTGTCTTTAGCATAGGTAATACTACCAGAGCAGTTGTGATACTTGGAACACAAAATAGAAAATTATTCATGAGCAAGCAACAAAAACAAACAAATGACACCCAACGTGTACACAGCACTGCTCCTCTTCAATACTCTTAGGCGTGCCAAGCTAACAACAGCTGATTTTGGTGGCAAGGACAGCAAGTGTGGAAACAGGGTCAAAAAGCAAAGGGCTGGCAAAGCTTTCCTACAAGAATGAATGCAGGAGAAGGCCACATCCTCTGGGACCAAGCTCTTGTCTGAGCCAAGGACAAGCAGGGGAGATCCTTGGAGAGGGGCAACAGTGGCAGGGGACCTAGAGATACTGCAAGTTCTCTTTAACAGGTAGTTTGGGAAATAGCTGTGATTTTAGCTGCCAGGTCCACTTCAGCTGCCTCTAACTCAGTGCTATGTGGAATCACTTGCTAAAATATGGGAGCAAACACCAAATCCATATTCACACAGATGGGAAATCACAGGTATGAGTGTGGCATTTCCAAAATTATCTGTGTATTTTTTTCAGGCAAGATTACTTCAGCATCAACATGAATTTTATCTCAAAATAGGTATACTTTGGAAATTTTCACCATACTTAAAGGGTTTAACATGCAAAACAAGCCCAAATCACAACAGAAGCTAGACTGCAGAGGTTTCAGAAAACTAGCACATACCTATCCTTCAGTGATCAGTCATGATTTAATTTAGAACCAGTAATCAGTAATTGATTACTTTTACAAAGTAACCACAACAAATTCAGTCTAGGCAGGAAAGCAATTGTTTTGCAGACACGAATAACTTCAACAGTAGAGATGGTTTTAGAAGCAGAGTTAAATACTTTACTTATCGGGGCCATAGAGACTAAAGCACTGTACCAAATTAACAGAAAAATTAAAAGCCTCCAGAAACTTACCACTGATGTAAGAGCCATCTGAAAACTGTAGATTCGTGCAAGGCCAAAGTCAGCTAACTTGATCTGCCCACTGCTGGTTACAAGGATATTTTGGGGTTTCAGGTCCCGATGCACCACACGATGTGAATGCAGAAAATCCAGTCCCCGAAACAGCTGAAGCATCATATCCTAAGTATAAGGAAGAAATCAATACACAACTATCAAGACAAGGCAAACACCCAGCCACAGTCTGCAGAACTAATTTAAGTAAGTGTTGACTTGAGATAAAAACACCTATTAATATAAAATGGGCAGGATATTGCTAGAAACTGTTGACTTGAATAGGTGCACTTATCAAGTTCATGCATCATTTCTAGTTGAATTATTTGTGGTTAATTGTTAAAAGCATAAGGACTGTTCAACAAATTTAAATAACAAAAGCATGTCTGCAAAACACAGATCAACTTTTAATGAATGCTGTCCAAGTAAGAAAAATATATTGCAGCTTTTGGGTTTTAACTTTGAACCACGCACCACTTTGCACTTCCCGACTGTCTGCTTTGTCTTGCCCCAGTGAAGTGAAATCTTGTTATTCACTTCAATAGGCACAGGCTCTGTTTCAGAAACAGAAAAGCTAATTAAATGACTGTTTTGTCAGAATTTAATGTTACAGTGGGAAAAAAGTTTACTTGTCAAAACCCATTCTATAAAATACACTGAAAAGTGCAGAAACTGCTTAGATCAAGCTTCAGCATCAAATCAGTGTAATAATTCCCATTTGGCTTTCTGTTATGTTACGGTGATGCAATCTTTCATGACATTTCCACAGCAGAAGACACTATTTCATCTGTACCCATGTTTTCATACTGATCTGTGTAATGTGAAAGGAATGAACTGAGACTCAAAACTAAATACTAGAAACCCCCAGAATTCCAAATGAGAGGGATAGCATCAACTTGAGAAGTGTATTTGCAAAACAAATAGCTACAAGGAGATACTGCAGTGAGCAAGAAACAAAAGGAATAAGTTAATTTTTTGTGTGCACTTGACTTGAGTTGATGAAAATCCAGCCTTGTGTTTGCTGGTAACATATGTGCTTTCCACAAGCAATGCAGCAGGCTCTCTGCCAATCCTCTTATTAGAAACCAAAATGATCTTGAAGAGGTGATGGTATGAAACATAGGAAAAAGGTAGGATAAGCTGAGTTTGGTTGCTTTTGTTCCTATGATCATCACAGGAACAGGCAAAATCTGATATTTTTTACAAGAAAACATTCAAAGCATACTATAACAAAGAATCCTATCTGAAAATTGATTTTAAAATAGCTCAAAACATTCAACTTTATAATACTGCTTTAGCTGGATGTATTTTTAAGACAAACTTTGATACTGCTATGTAATTTAATATAAAATGAAATGTCCCAAATCATCACCACAGAAAATCTTATATAATGTATAAATACTAAGGCTGGAAGCTCTAATCCGACCTCTGATAAAACATGCCCATTATTATATACAGCCTACAACTCCTTCTGCCAGACAGTAGTAACAGTGGGCTGTTGATACAGAGATCAGTTTTGATTTGAAGATTCAAACGATGAAGAAACTAACATGAAACTATGGAATCTGTGGCAATATTTAATTATCATGACCACTGAAGGATGGTGGTAAACTGAGCTCTCAATTCTGATGCCTTTTATTTCCTTTGCTTCCCCAGGAAAAGCAGAGATCTGGTCATTTTGATAACTAGCTTAATAGGATTTGCTCCTCTAAAACAAACATACAAAGTGTAGTGAATCTTCCTGTATTTTTGTAATTTCCCTTTGCAGCTTGGAAATATGTGGAAGAGCTACGACTACAACCCTGCGGGTCGCCAACACCAGCAGAATTGAAATGCGTCAAACCTAGTCACTATTTTAACTTCAGTCAAATCCCAATAGTCTTGAAGAGTTACAGAAGATATCAAAAACACTTAACCATACGGTTATCCTATGCACGTCCTTAAGGTTTTCACTAAATTTGGGTCTAACTATTTTATTCCAGACAAACATGATACCAGAAAAAATAACAACCCAATTTAAAGAACTTCAATATTAGTCAGTAGACCCTGGCAAGTCCCTTTTTGTGACATTTCTGCATCCTATTCATTTGTCAAGAATGTAAACTCATTCCTGCAGTTACCAAATATATCAAGAATTTTCTCATGCTGTTTCTGTTTCATATTTCTCCCTCAAGCTCAGTGAATGTAGTTCCGCTCTGCTAGTCGCAAGTTGCAAGCAATGTCTTCAGTTTCTGAATTCAGAATCTTCTTCCAGACATGCATCAAATATATTATATGTATATGAAAAAGGAAACTGGTATTTCATTCTCTCCTCCCACAGGACTGAAAAGATGAATAGCATTAACTGAAGCTCTGTTCGCACACACAGGAAAAGATGTGCAGCAGAAAAGTGTATCAGGAAAATGTACACAAAAAATGTATAAAGAAGGAGGAAAACTGGGGAAAAAAGTGCTGTATTTCTTCTCCAAGGAAATTCAGATTTACTCCATATAGGCTATTCTCTATTATTCATTTTGGACAGTTAATTATGCTCTTTTGTTTGCCTTGTTGTTCAGTATTGTACATATGAACAGATTTCAGCTGAAAACTTGCAAGACTGTTTTAGAAGGACAGCAAAGAAGGCCATTTTAGTGTAAAAAGACCATTTGCCCTTTGTGATTCCTTATTCCCCTGTTTTAGAATTCTCAGCCTGCCAGGTAAAGAGTTGAAACCCAAATTACACAACAAAGTCTTATTATTATGCGCTTTAAATGCCGAATGCCAAATGGTGGTCAGAATTTGATATCTGTTTGTATCTGTTTATTAAAAAAAAAAAGAATAACAAACTGACTTTTCTTACCAAAGCAAGCAAAAGAGAAAGCTTCTCTTTTTTAAATCCATAATGAATTTTGCTGTCCAGAAGCTTGGTCTAGAAACTTTGGCCTCACATTTAGAAACTATTTCATACTCTTAGTAAAGTACTTGCAAGAAAGTACTTGCAACAAAGTCTTGGCTGTTTTCTTGTGTGTTTTCTTTGACAGCATTACTAACTTCAAAAGCCACTAACGTTTGCTAGCCAATTGCATAAAGGTTGTAAATATGCACAGAACACATCTCTAGCTAACTAGATCAGAACAATTTCCCTCATCCAGTGCATCCGGTTTTATTAGCATTATCCCAATTGCCACAATTTGTTCTTTGTCTGCGTTTCCCTGAGATACTTTCTACTATGCTTTGGCATACCGTATGTTTGATTTGCAGTTCAAATCACAACTCATAAATTAATTGAAAAATGATACAATTCTATTTGACAAATGAGAAGATTCATTTCTTAGCAGATTTGAGTAGCAAGATCTAGCAAGTCATTCTCTAATCTCAATCAGATATGCTTTGGTTATTTTATATTTACAAATAGATACCAAACTGTGACTAGAATAGCTGTTGCCTGAGTTTAAAATATATATATTATTCCACTGTGATTGGTTTCAGATAATCATGATCTTAAAAAGTTTTCCCTTTTCAGGCTGCATTTTCAAAGTAGTCTATGCACAGAACTAAAATATTTATCTGTAACTACTAAAAACTGAGCTATTTTGGGATGCAATGAACCAAAATACTTTCCTTAGAGGCAAAAATGTAGCTACAATTTTGCAAAAGTCTTATAATGGAAACAGTAAGAAGCAAAAGTTGTTATGGAAATGACACAAGTTTTATATGTTCCACCACATATGGTATTGGTGATGGCATTCCCAAATCTGGAATATTAAACAAAATATGAATATTTACTGAATGCTGGGACCAAATTATGAGAAAATTTTCAAGTAGTGCCATATCATATCAATAATACATAAAAATATACTTATTTCTGCTCATAATTGGCCCCTAGTACTGATGAGGACAGGGACAGATTTGGACTAGTGCGAGCAGCTGCTGCTGCTGCCTCTACCAAAGATGGGATTCACAGCTTACCTCTAACTCAGGCGCCAGAGGAAAAAGCCTTGATCTCCTCCAGACTTCATCTCCTCTTCTTCCCATCCTTTCTTGGCCCTCGCTCTTAAACTTCCTGCAGCTTCTGATCTATACGTCCCTTCCAAGTTACTGGTTTCGAAAACACCACTCTGATACTTTAAGAGCTCCCCACCATTATGATTTCCAGCTAACATTATGTGTCACTTGCCTACGATATCTTACTTGTTGTCTAAGGCCAGACAGATTCTCTGCAGAACTCACACAGTATTTATCTCCATTCACTATTAGGCCCCATTTACCATAGGGAATCACAAGGAAACTTTTCCACAAACATTTTCACACAGAGTTTGCAGCATACAGAAGAGGAGGGAAAGGAGGAGGTGCTTCATGACAGAGCAGATATCTATCTGCACAGCAACCCGTGGAGGATCCATGCTGGAGCAGGTGGATATTCCCAAAGACGTGGCCCTTGCAGAGGACCCACGCTGGAGCAGGTGAAAAGGAGGAAGGAGAGGCAGAAAGAACTGTTAGGAGCAGACAGTAGCCCAACAAACATTACCCCCTGCAGCCCTTGGGGAGGAGAGGGCTCATGAGGGATGTGAGTCTGGAAACAGGCAGTGGAAGGGGTTAATTTTAAACTGCTGTTTTAACATTTGCTTTTTTCTTTCCCAGTACCCAAATTAATAATGAAATACTTATTTTAATCAGCATTAAACTTAAGACCAAAGCAAGTCTGTTTTAACTCTGACAGTAATTGATAAGCAATTTCCCCGTTTCATCTCAGCTAACAAGTTTTCTCAATCCTGCTTTTCTTCTTTTCTTTTTCTACTCCATTGCACTGAGGCTGGGGGGGGGCAGGGAGTGGCTGGGTGGGAGTTTGGTTTCTGGCTAAGGCTAACCCACCACAGTGGTAAAGCTACAGATGCTAGATTTTCTCTCTGTATAAGGGTACACAGGGATAGGCAACCTGAAGGGAAGTGCCAAGAGTAATATGTCTTCAGAGACCACCTGCACCCATATGTAACATACACATAAGAACTCATAATGCAAAGCTTACAATTCCACTCTATTGACTAAAGGTAAAAAACAAAAAGCTTCTATCCAGATTCACCTTTGTCAATCAGCATAAGTTCCTAACACCAGACAAAGTGAGTCATAGAAGCCCATAAACATAGTCAATC